TTTTATTTTGAAAGCGGTTTTTTGTTTTTTGGATTTCTTTTTTAATTTTTTTTTTTTTGTTTTTTTTTTTTTTGGTTTTTTTTTTTTTGTACAATCCATTTCCTACGGTTTCATAAAGAAGGCAAAAAGTCAGTTGTACAATTTTTTTTTATAAGTTCAAAAGCAGCAGTTAGAATCTATGTTTATAAAAGTCAAAGCAACTCCCCATTTTGATTTATTTTGGTACCAGCACTTGACCCTTTCGATAATCAGTGGCCAAAATGTGAGAATGCGCACTTCACTTACGCAAACTTTGGTAATTGGTGTCTATAGCGGAACACACGCCTGCAGAGACGGGACGGGCGCGTATTTCATTCAAAGCGTTGGTCTTTTCTATCGGACAGGAAACGCTCTGCAGGGTCGTACATTGCAACTACTAAGTAGTTACTGACTACACTGTGTGTCTATGTCTTAGGAGTCGTTTATTTACAAACCTGTTAATGAGCTGAAATTATCCAGTTATCAGGTACGTTTTTCCTTCAGAGAACCATGTGCATAGTGGTAAATATTGGCAGCAGGGGGAGTGAATGGTGGGCTCTGTCTGAGCGCCATCGCTTAAAATGCCGCTATCTTACGATTCGTTGAAAAGTCAAAACACAACACACACACCAAATCTGACTAAGTCAGCCCCGGTCTCTCGCTGTCTGTGTTGTATTCGCATCCCCTTGTCGTTTGTTTCTGGGTCCGCATACCATTGCTGTCTTAATGAGCGTCGATAAGACAGACGATTGGGTGCAGAGAGCTAAGTTCCTGTATACAGTGTTTAATGCTTGGGTTCCCTTAGTGTGTATGTTGTCGTGACACAGCCTGAACAGCCAGTTAATCACTTGAACCTCCTTGGGGGTAGGGGGGGGGGTTCGGTCGTGTGTAAAATTTTAAGAAACTTTACGTGTTCAATGGTGAAAAAAAATGTGGCAGCGAGAATCGCAAACTGTAAATAAAATTGTTGTTTAAACCAAATGATAAAAGAAAATTCACGTCGCAATCTGTCAGGAGCATCTATGAGAAAGTGATTTACAGCGATGGTGAAGTGTTTCGAGTCCCGTGCGCACCAGATGTTGCGAAACTGGTCGTAAATACTTGCAGTAATAAACACATAATGTAACGAACGAATCCAGTAAAAGATGAATGGTGCGCCGCCGTAACATGAACCCCCCATGGACCCTAATCGGGCCAATGAGATGGCCCATTGATTTTTCGAGTTCCGACTTATTTGGCGGAGGAAAAAAAAAAAAGGGAAGACACTGTTGTTTGTTAGCGTCACATGCAAGTTAATCTTTCCACTCCTAATTATTTATTTTGTGATGAATTGAAAGCAAACCACGGAAAGAACAATAATTGTGAATAATACCCGCTGTAGCTAGATTGTCTGCCTTGGTCAGTTCTGTCTTCTTCTTTTTTTTTTTCTGGTGTGGTTTTTGGGTCCGGCTGTAACCTTTGCTTGGTATACCAATTATCACAACACATCAGCAGACGCAGGGCTGGATTAACCATTAGGCAAACAAGGCACGTGCCTAGGGCACCAAGCATTTGGGGGGGGCACCACAAGTCCTCAAGAAAAATGTGTATATTGTCCCGGTGGCGTAATTGCATGGCATAAGCAAATCGCAAATGTCATATTGAATCGCACATTATTTAACCTTGGTTCCCACAATACCCGGGATAAAATAACCCCCCCCCCCCCAGTTTTTTTGCTATTTTTTTGCTATTTTTCTTCACGGTTTTTTGGGTCTTTTTTTGTAAAAAACTTTTCTGTGTTTTTTTTCATTTTTTAACCTTGGTTCCCACAATACCCGGGATAAAATAACCCCCCCCCCCCCCAGTTTTTTTGCTATTTTTTTGCTATTTTTCTTCAAGGTTTTTTGGTGCTATTATTGTAAAAAACTTTTCTGTGATATGTTTGTACTACGTAACGCACTAATGCGTAGCGACGAATTCCCTCCTGCTGCAGACGGTAGTCCTTTCAACGACCCCGTGTGGTTTATGGGTTGTTGTAGTTGTGCACGTCTTTTGAATGATTTGTCTTCCATCCTGGCCTTGCCAAGCTTAGCAGACGCCTTTTCGTCTTATACCTGCTGTTTGTGTTTGATCGTTTCAGTCATCCTGCCGAGACTGGCCGCCATGGCGTCTGCTAACAATCACATGACCAATGAGACCAAGAGGACGGACATCGCCATGCAGCTGTTTGAGGCGTACAGCGCCATCTCGTGTTGCTGTATCCTTGCAGAAGATACACACGTGCCACTGGGAGAAATGCTCTAGTTTTGTATTGTACTTTTTTTTTTTAGATGTGATCTGTGTTGTGTGTGTTCTAAATATAGATGTCAATAGCGTTGTTGTTGTTTTTTTCTGTAAATTTATTTTATATTATTATTTTTAAAAACTTTATTTAATTTTTTTTTTTTTAAATTCAAATGTATTTACTTGCTATGTTTGTGTTGTGTGTGTGTGCGCGTGCGTTTTTTTGGCAAGCCGGTTATAGTCATCTATGAATATTGGTTTAAACCGGTTATCGGTTTATCGGTATTTGCATTTCATTCATAAATTTTCTTCATAAAAAGGTCAGATTAACATATTTTATCAAATCTAAAGCAGAAGTTCTAATCTATTTTGAGTACAGGCAGAGCAAATCTGACTTTGATACAGTTTGATACAAGCACTTTGCCCATCTTCTTTTCGTGAACAACGACAACCGATAATCTGAAATCAGGCAGTCGCTTAGCATCAACGGAGTGCTAAGTAATACTTCATGTGTTTTTATGACAGAGTTCTAAGTGATACTTCATATATTCTTTATGACAGAGTTCTAAGTGATGCTTCATATGTTCTTTATGACAGAGTTCTAAGTGATACTTCATATGTTCTTTTATGACAGAGTTCTAAGTGATACTTCATATGTTCTTTTATGACAGAGTTTTAAGTGATACTTCATATGTTCTTTATGACAGAGTTCTAAGGGATGCTTCATATGTTCTTTATGACAGAGTTCTAAGTAATACTTCGTATGTTCTTCATATGTTCTTTATGACAGAGTTCTAAGTGATACTTCGTATGTTCTTTTATGACAGAGTTCTAAGTGATGCTTCATATGTTCTTTATGACAGAGTTCTAAGTAATACTTCGTATGTTCTTCATATGTTCTTTATGACAGTGTTCTAAGTGATGCTTCATATGTTCTTTATGACAGAGTTCTAAGTAATACTTCGTATGTTCTTCATATGTTCTTTATGACAGAGTTCTAAGTGATGCTTCATATGTTCTTTATGACAGAGTTCTAAGTGATGCTTCATATGTTCTTTATGACAGAGTTCTAAGTGATGCTTCATATGTTCTTTATGACAGAGACTGTGTCTTAAAGTTAATTGGAGTGGAGTGCGTCCAACAATTGTTTAAAGTCCACCTTATGTTGATTGGAAGATCTGACCTCCTGTGTTCAAAATTGTGTGTATGTGTTTAAAGCTGCTTGTCTGTCTGGGTCTGGTGTTCTAGTCCAGCCTGGTCGGTTTTCACAACCGGGCAAATTTTGAACACACGGCCCCCCCGGTTGCGTGGGGGGGGGGGGGGTTC